CGCGGACTACTGGAGAAAAACAAAAAAATTGGAAGTTTAGAAAATTTCTGTTGCAGAAATAGAGTAAAGTCGTATTGTTTCTTAAGACGGAAGGAAAAAATTAAAGAAACCAATCCAACACTTTTTGACCAGGACGTGATTTGAACACGCAACCTTCTGATCTGGAGTCAGACGCGCTAACGTTGCGCCCCCGAGCCACGTTAACAATCTCATTTCTGCATATTATATTGACAGGATCAGGAATGATATTTGACAAATGTACAGTCCTTTGGCATTACGTAAAATTCTAATATTATAACTTATTTATATTCATGGTCATGCACTTCTTACGAAGAGAGCAAAATAGGTTCATGTGCCATGGATTCTTACAGTATTGCATACTGCGTTATATACATCTGGATGAGCATGCCCTACGATTGCGGAACTAGTACAAAGCCATTTTTCTCATTCTTTCCTTTCAAGTTTTACATGAAATTCGAGTCCCAGAAACTACGAAATTAGCAAGGTCGGACTAACAAGATATTTTCCTTAGTAATGTGTGTTATTTGTACAAATTAATTTTCTAAAGTGGAGCAAAAGTAACGTGCACACATTGACCCGGGCGTGATTCGAACACGTAACCTTCTGATCTGGAGTCAGATGCGATACCGTTGCGCCACCGAGTCTTGGAGGCTTCCGACATTCTCCGATTCAGTGCGTAATTGCAAAGGGAGATAAAAATTGAAGGTAATTAGACAACTGCCAGTTCTTTTTACCACCATTGTATATTTTAAAAACGAAGACTCTATGTAGAAAATTTATAAATGGAACGCACCGGTTTTTCACAAGCTTCCTCTTCTGGAATGTGAGGATTTTTTGTATTAGAACCACTCAGGTAACATATCGTTATTGCAGATGAAAGTCGTGAAATTGGTTGTCAGACAAATGACGAGGATGGAACCTAGCCTTGAATTTTGAATCATAAAAATTTTTCTCATTTGTCAATTTTGAGCTTAGACAAATTTAACGTAATTCAATACACC